TAAACTTGAAAAGCATATGGATGACTTGTCTACTTCTGAATATTTTCAGTCTCTTAGGTTCATTTCTGCCTACCACCAGCTTTACCTTTGTTGACTGTGTGCCCAAAGAGCATCGTCTTCAGGCTTGCTCCTCTTGCTGGCTGTCTCACCTTTTCCATTTCTCTATACCTTCTGACTTCAGATTCCAACTGAGTCATTGACCTAGATGTTTCTAGCAGTTTTTCTGCTATGGTACACATTATAGCCCAGAGGAATGCCCAACCTGTGTGTGTGTGTAATTCCCAGTAGACTAGCAGCAAATCTTTCCTTTCCTCTCTGACTCAAGAAAGCCAACTGGAACACAACAAACTGGGAGTGACATTTTTATAGGAATAATCTGCAATCTGCTCTAATTTATGCTTTAAAAATTTATTCTCAACTTTTGGTTTCAGACCAAGGTGGAACAGTGAGTAAAATATGCTTCCTACTAAGAACAGCTAAAAACTCCCGGCATTGGATACGAAATACACAGAAGATGGATGAGTGGAGAGAGAAGGCAATTGGCTGCAGATCTGTGGATCTGAAGAATGGAGGAGTACCCAGTTCTCTGGCTTTTCCTCTTGTCTCATATACCCTGGACCAAGTGCCGGAGAACTGCACAACCCAGGAACACCACAGAAGCAGATTTAAAAACAACACTCTTTCTGACCAAAGGACTAGGAAAGGGGCAACCTAGCAAAGCTGAAGCCAGCGCCATGGCTCACTTGGTTAATCTGGCATCACATATGGGTGCTGGATTCTGTCCCGGTTGCTCCTCTTCCAGTCCAGCTCTCTGCTGTGGCCCGGGAGGGCAGTGGAGGATGGCCCAAGTGCTTGGGCCCTGCACCTGCATGGGAGACCAGGAGGAAGCACCTGGCTCCTGGCTTTGGATCGGTGCAGCGCTGGCTGTGGCGGCCATTTGGGGGGTGAACCAACAGAACGAAGACCTTTCTCTCTGTCTCTCTCTCTCACTGTCTATATCTCTACCTGTAAAACAAACAAACAAACAAAAATGTAGATAATAACTGCCCTATTCCAGCCAAATGCCCCAGAAAAAAGAGGCCTCACCCTATCCCAGTTGGTAAAGGATGAATAGACAGCTCAAACTCTCACCTTATGGTTCAAGACCCTTTCATCCCCTGCTGGGGGAGGTGTCAAAGAAGACTAAGTGGGGTGCTATCCCTGTCCAGTTACAGAGTGGTTTGCACAAAACAGGTAAAAACATGACTCAACTATACGATTGAGTTAAAAAAATCAATCTTAAAAGGTCATATCATATACATGATTCCACTTCTGTAACATTCTTGGAATGACAAAATCCATAGAGGTGGAGAACAGGTTAGTGGTTGCCACTAGAGACGGTGGAGGTGGGAAAAGTGGGTGTGACTGTAAAGGGTTGGTTTCAGGGAGATCCTCGTGGTGACGGAATAGTCCTGTATCTGGATTCTGGTGTGACAAAATGGCACAGAACTATACAGACACATTGTACTGTGTCAGTTTTCTGTTTTTGCTTTTGTACTACAGTTATGTAAGATATAACCGCTGGGAAAAACTGAATGAAGGACTTTTCTGTCTGGTTTTTAAGACTTCCTGTGAATCTTTGATAACTTCAAAGTAACAAGTTAAAAAAAGTTATCCTTCAATCTTGATACTTCAATACTTGATACTTGATGGTCATTAATGCTATAATCTAAATATTCCCAGCTTTCTGGGGTCATGCTGGGATGGGTACCATTCTCGACTCCTTGGCAGCTGGAAATGGCCAAGTGATTTGAGTTGGCCGTTGAAATGCACACATAAGAGACTAGGCTGCCTATGATCTGCCCCACGCCCATAAACTGTCTTTACCACTGAGGAGCCCTGTGCCACTATGGATTCCCCTTCAGCATGGGTTCATGGTTACCTGTAGAGTCCTCACTGACCACAGCAGTGCTGGGCAGGAACTAGAATCTGGGATGTTTGGACACAGCCATTTGGCATGGTACTACATCTATTAAGTCAGTTACTTCTCTACTTCCCATAATGCCTAAAATTGAACCTCCTCAACAGCAGAGGCAAGCCTCTGGCCGCCTCCTCACTGGTTCTACCTGCCCCAGCTCAGGCCTGCCCTCACTGCGCTGATACACCCTCACTGCCTGACCTCCCACCATCTCCACACAAAGGATGCTAGGTCCAGGTTTCCACCTCCATCTAGTTTGCCCTCTTTTATTCCTGGACCTCAGAGCAACATAAGGACACCGACAGTGGTGAGGTGCTGTGCACAGAGGAGCAATGGGAAAAAGCGTACCCATGTACGTGAGGCTGTAGTACATGGCAGGACTTGGTTTGGCAAAAGCAAAACCAAAGAGGAAAAAAGTCAGAAAGAGATAGTTTGCATGTTCTGCATGACTCCACACACTCTGTGCCACCTGACTCCTGGGTGGGCTTTGTTAAGCCCTCCTGTATCCAACACTCCTCCTTTCTTCCCCTCCCCCAACTCCTGACAGGGTTCTAGGTAACCAGTGGCTTCTAGTCTTGGGCAGTTCAGTCTGCCTCAGGCAATCTCTCCCAACTCTCCATTATAATGGAATCCATCCTAGGTACTCTCCCCTTGCTCTCTAGCAAATTTGAAACAAGGAGGCCTAATTCACAAATTGAAACACTATTAGTATCATTCATTTTAAAAAGAGCCTTACAGAAACAACACAGTTAATGATTTCCTGAAAGGAGCAGCCCCTCTGGGGGTTGGTGGTGATGAGGGTGTCACCACAGATAGGCTACTTCCTGTGGGATCAATTTCAAAGTGTCCCCATGAACGGGTCCTACGGGGGTTAATTCTGCCTACAGTAAAATCATAGAACGCCCGGAAAATCCTTGAACTAGCCCTGAAATGGAAAGTCTTCGGCAACATTAGCCAGCCCCAAGCCACCGCTCCGCCCTGAGGCGTACATCTGTGTAACTGCGGGAACCGGCAAGTCTTCAGGTGAGAGGGAAAGGGGAACAGGAGCGGCGCTGGGAAAGCCGAGCGGAGCGCAGGTCTTCATCCTGGACTCCCCGACCTGCGCCTTTTCACCCCTTCCTGCTTGGCAGACCCTGTCATGAGGCCTCCAGTTTCCTCCTGCTCTCAAATATGCTTAGCCTCTTCCTCCCCATTTCCTGTTCTTTTAGCAGGTAAAGTGAAGGCCGATTTTTGAATGAATAGGAGTGGGTAGATAGGGGGTGTTGAAGAGTATTCCTACCTGGTTATACAACCAGGTTATAAAAGTGCATTTCATTAGTGTAGAATGCAAACCGCAGACAATTTTCCAGATGCCTCAAGGGGTTTTTGTTGTTTTCAATTGCAAGGAATTGTGGCAATCAGCTAAAAAATGTACTACTATCCTGGGTTACTTAATGGTACACAGATATGTTTTTTAAAAAATTGTTTTTGTTTTTTATACATGCTATAAAATTAAATTTGTTTCAAGCGCAGAATTACACTATTTTTAGTGCACCAGGAGTTGTGAAACCACTACCACAGTCCAATGTTAGCACACTGCTAATGCTAGAAACAGATCTCTTGGGCCCCTTCAGTCATGCCCCCACTCCTACCCTGGCTCTGTAACTGATAGTCTGTATAGAGTTGCCTTTTTCCAGACATTTCATATAAACGGAATCATACAATTCATGCTCTTTGGAATCTGGCTTCTTCCCTTAGCTTACAAGTATTTGTTTTGAGATTCATTTATTTATTTGAAAGGCAGCTACAGAGAGGGACACACACACACAGGGCAGGAGTGCTTCCATCTGCTGGTTCACTCCTCAAATGGCCACAGGAGCCTCCGCGTGGATGGCAGGGGCCCAAGCACTTGAGCCATCTTCCATTGCTTTCCCAGGCACATTAACAGGGAGCTGGATCAGAAGAGCAGTTGGGAGTGGAACCAGCACTCATATGGGATGTCAGCGCAGCAGTGCCCGCCTCAGCTTTCTGTATGTGAGGTTCCTCTCTGTTGCACCATCTACAAAGACTTTGCTCCTTTTTGGTGAATAGTAGTCTACTGCATAAATACACATTTTGTTTATCTACTCCGCAGTTCCTAGACATTTGAATTGTTTCCACTTTGTGACTCTTAGAAAATGTATGTGCAAGTTGTTTTGTGAATGTATTTTCAACTCTCTGGGGTCTATATCTAGATGTGCAATTGTTGGGTCATATGGGACTTTTGTGTATAGTTTTTAAATAATCTGACAAATTTTCTTAAGTGGCTTCACCATTTTACATTGTCACAGTGTATGAGGGTTCTAATTTCTCATCTCTTCACCAACACTTATTGTCTTTTTTAACACAGCCCTTGCAGTGGGCGTGAAGAGCTTTCCCATGGTTGTTTTTAATTTGCATTTCCCTAGTGACTAATGTTGAATATCTTTTTATGTAAATATTGATCATTTAAATAAGTTCTTTGGTAAAATGTCCTTTTCCTCATTTCTATTGGATTATTAGTCTTCGCATTCAGTAGTAGGAATTCTTTATACACATATAAATTCTTTATATACATATATTCCTATATATGATTTGCAAATCTTTCCTCCCAAGTATATTTTTGGACACAGGCTTTCTGAAGATCACATCTTTATTTCAAAGAGAATTTTTCTTGTGGAACATTACCAGGCTAGTCATAACAGACTGTGTTTCAAAAAACAAGTACTTTTAAAAAAATTCTGCCTTTTAACTTTCATTTTAGAATACTACTTGGAAGATGTAGATAAACACAAAATAGAATATTAAAATTCCAGAAAAATCTCCTGCTAAATTTTGCCAATTTTTTTTTTGGGTTACATGACCATATTTAAAACTTTTCAATGGGTCCATTTAAATAATAGAAATCTCTTAGTATTTGTTATTGGCTGGCAAGGCCTAAGATACAAATCTCTTAACAAGTAGAAATCCAATTACTAAAACCACGGTTGGCTGTGCCAGGAGCGAGTGAAGAAGCAGCGTTTGGTCTTCAGGGCAGGCGATGGCTGGGTACTGGAATTGGTACTAAGGAGGGGTGCGTCCCAAAGGGGGCGCCCTGGAAGACGCCCCACGGGGTGCAGAGCCGAGTACACTTTTCGAAGCAGTCCCCGTTCTGCAGGGATCCCGGCGATTCCAGTCCCCCGAGGCCCGGCGGTGGCCTCTCCTCTCACCGCCCACCCCGGGTCGCCCGGCGCAGGGCTCCGCAGGGCGGGACGCGGATCCGCCGACAGCCCTCCGGCTGCAACCCTCCGTGGAGCGGTGAGGGCACCTCTGTTTCCTCCCACCCCGTGACCTGCTCGACGTGAAACGGCCCGAGTTTTATTTTTACTTGCTGCGGCAGCATCTTTTGTCCGTACGCAGGTTCAAAGGGGGGGCGGGGAGAGAGACCGCTCGGCCGGGACGAACCCCACGCAGCCCCAGCCACCTGAGGGTCGGGCTGCGGGCGGCAGCCACGCCGAGACGCCAGAACCTCCCAGGCCCGGAGGGAAGCGCGGCGGCCCCGAGGTGGGCTCGCCGCAGGGGGGGGGGGGGGCGAATCGGGGGGGATGGGGGGGGGCACCCGGCGTGCCCGAAGAAGCCTTTCATTCGCTGATTTAAGAAACTTCAACTTTGAATTTGAGGCCTGATTGGCGGCCGGAATCAGTCTTTTGGTGGAGTCCGTGGGTAGGTGGTCCAGAGGAATGTAGTAGCGTTGAGAAAAGAGGCAGATGGGGCGGTGGATTTGACGTTCACAAGACTGCGAGAGA